TTTATTTATTTATTTTTAGGGGGGGGTGGTTAACGGTTTAAGGCCCTCGCAACTGCATAAAGTCATATGAGCGCAGGGACACATTAAACATTTTCATTTGATAGGAAATTTTGAATTTTGTCCGGGTGGCGGCCGAAGTCTACTCATATCGATTTTTTAACACCAAGAGAAGAAGAAGAAAAAGAAATTTAATCTCAAAGGCAATAATAAGAACAGCAATATGACATTGATCCACTCCTGCTACAAATACTGTCTTCTCACTCTCACATGGAAATATCGCAACGCTTCAGCTGTTAATTAGTTTTGAATTACGCGATTGTTAATTTTGTTATCTTTTGTTAATTTTTCTGCCTGATCTATTTGAGAAATCTTGGTTCCAGGATGTTTTTGTTGTTTTGTTGTTGTTGGGGTTTTGTTTTTTTGTTTTTTTTGGGGGGTGGGGGTTGTTCTGTTTAATGTTATCTTCTTGCTTAGAAGTGTTTTTTTTTTTTTTAATGTAAGTGCGATACACTTCAGTGGCGTAGGTAGCTTTGTGGCTAGGCTAACGGGCTCGTAATCGTGAGACTGCATGTGTGCGGGTTTGAGCCTCAGCTCAGTACGTCGTTGTGTTCTTGGGTAAGGCACTTTACAGGAATTTCTAATTTGGCTGGGTCCTAGTAGTGTTTATAGGGGCGTTAAATCTACACCATTTTCGTTTTCTATCTTCAAAGTGTTGTTCCCCTTAATGTAGGTGTTTAACACCCCTATTTGGATCATTTCAGAGGCGGGTTAAGCACTACCTACCAATGGTCAACCTAGGCTAAGAACGATACGACTTTCTAATCGAAAACGGAGATAGTCAAAGACCCAACCTTTATACAATCATAATGCCGATTTTGTGGTATAATCTTGCTTAAAATAATTTACTATCTGACACCAAATGTAGAGTAATATAATATCATAGCTTACACTTACAGATGTTACAAGAGCGCAGTCATGTCACTCTCCTAAGCGAGGTTGGCAGGTGCTCTAGTTGGGTATGCTCCTTGCCATCTTACCAAACATCTGTCGTCTTTGTCTCTCCTCCTTCCTCTTTTGTGTTTGTTACACTATCCTTCAACACCTCTAATCTTCGACATGTATTTGACCTTATTGTGTTTCAAGCAGTGTAAAACTAGTACTAAAACTAAGTCATGCCACTGTCTGTAAATAGATTGAAACAGAAACGCACGTCCTTTAAAAAAATAAATATTGACCTTTAAGAATTTAGACTGAGCATTAATAGACTTCCTGGTAGTTATAGAATCTGTGTCAACGGAAGGAGCTGGATTGTTTTAGATTTATTTTTAAACATAAGAAAATATCATGACCTCAAAATAATGTCGAATACCTGCAGAAAAATGTCGGGAACTTATATGCATTGCTCAGAATCAAATATAGTAAGTAACAGTACTCGTTGATCCAATCTACACTTTACAAGAGCCCTACTTCAATGAAAGATGGTGTCAATTCCGGGAGGTAAAAATACTTTTTTTTAAAGGAAAAAAAAGGAAGTATGGGTTAAAACAGATGTGGACGTTCCACATGCATTCATTTAATGTTTCCTGTCACACCTCAAACAGCTGATATTCTTTACACAGTCTGTGGTGTAGCGGTTAGGCGATTTGTCTTCGCACGCTGGAAAGCAAAGTTCCATTCTCGAGTGGGCAGATATTTTTTTTTCATCAAGCATCTTGGTCTTTCTCCAGGGATGTTGTAAACCTCTCATGCAATTTAGACCATTCAGGAGACGGGTTTTGTACTCTTAGTCTTAGTGTTAGTGCTAACACGGGCATGAGAGGATTACAACATCCAGCTCCCACTTCTGGCACCCTTAGGAGACGAAAATGTACGCACTGACGTTCCTGGTATAGTGGTTTGACGCTTGGCTACCGTGGACGGGGGGGGGGGGGGGGGGGAGGTCATTATTTGATTATTTCGGTCGTAAAATCCCCGACAATTAAAAAAAATAAGTTGTAATGGCTATGTTTTGGTTGCATTTGTTGCAAGGAGAACGTTTTTCTATCTCTATGTCGTTACTTCCCTACCATAACATTATTAATTGTGAGGTAGCGTGGTGGAATCAGGCTCTCGTCAATTTTGGGGCATGTAGAGTTATTGGTATCATCCTAAAGCTTGTTCACTTGTTTTTATTTGGATGAAAAAAATATCCATTTATCTTGTATACAAGTCGAGCTATTTGCAAATGAAGGAGGTGGGGGTCACCTGTTTTCAGAGGTAAAATTAGTGAGAAGATGGCCGCCAAAGAGTAGTTATTTCCTTAGCTTAAGAGTCCATGATAACTGAAAATTAACATTTTTTGTGCCTTTAATCAACGTTTTTCAGAAAAATCCACTCAGAAATGAGTTCTTTAATGGGCGTGAAAGGTGTTGAGCCGAAAAACAAAAATTTGATAAAAATTCACTAACCTGCGGGAAAATGCAAGTTTCTTCACTTTGATTATTTTGACGAGAGCCTGATTTCACCACGCTGCCTCATAAATTATTAATTTTTGTCTGCTCATTGCCAAGTTTTGAGAAGTTTTACGACAAAAAGTTTGCCTTTCGCAGCATGTCAAGCTTTTGCGAATGCAATTTTTGGAATTACTTGATATCGACTTCGAATAATCTAACGACTGTGATAGAGCAGATAGAACACTTGGTTTCTGACCGCATGGTCTAAGTAACTCAAGGTGGCCAAAAATGTCACCGATAGAACTCTGTAATTCAAAGGCAACGAGGTCTTATTCAATGTCGTCGTTTAGAAATACATGCAGGTTATCGGCGCTAACACATCTCATTTAGAAAGACCGAAATCATCAAAATAATGACCCCCCCCCCCCCCCGCACCCACGGTGGCAAAGCGCGAAACCACTATACCAAGAACGTTAGTGCGAAAATTAATTTCATCTCCTATGGGTGACAGAAGAAGTGGCAGCTGGCGATTTAACAAGATAGTTATCAAGATCTGCTTTTTATTCGATAAATGATACATTTTGACCCACTGCCCTGCTCCCCTAAGAACAAAAATTTAAAACATTCCCAAAAATCCCCCCCCCCCCCCGTGCTTGAAGCCACTACTCTTAAAATAACCTAAAACAGTCTTCTTTCGAGCATGACGTCACGGGAAGACAAATGGAATCTCTTTAAGAGCTAAGTGCTGTGACTTGAGTCGTAGACCAACATTGAGTTCCCAATGAAGACATCAATTAGTATAATTTTTATTTTTACTCCTCGTTCAGTGCTAGATTTCGTCACGTGCGTCGGTGCTGTAAAAAGCCTGGAAATAAAAAGAAATTCTAGTAGTCGCTGTAAACTCATAATGATTTCAAATAGTTTTTTTAATAGGTTTACAATACATGTACTTGCAGCAGCACAAATAGGTCATATTGTCTTATCATAAGGACGATAGATGTTTGATTAGAAAAGGGGCGTCAAACCCCTCCAGAGCACCCGCAAACCACACACACGCACACACACACACACAGACACACACACACACACACACAGACACGCACACAAATACACAAACACGCGCGCGTGCAAGCGCCCGAGCGCGTTCGTGCACGCACGCACGCAACAAATACACACACATGCACATACACACGCATGTATACACACAAGCACGCACAAACACACACACACACGCACAAACACACAAACACACATACAAACAAACACACACACACACACACACACACGCGCGCGCGTGTTTGGGTTACTATGATTAGGCTCTCCAAGTTTCTAACAAACAATTTGAGTTTTATTCGCGGTTGAACGTAGTGTTATCTGAGTACATGCATTTCTTCATTTCGTTACAATGTTATATCCAACACAATTATCATTATTATTATTATTTTTATTATTAGTATTATTATTATTATTATTATTATGATGATGATGATTATTATTATTATTATTATTATTATTATTATTATTATTATTATTATTATTATTATTATTATTATTATTATTATTTTTATTTTTATTTCATTATTACTATTATTATTATTATTATTATTATGATGATGATTATTATTATTATGATGATGATTATTATTATTATTATTATTATTATTATTATTATTATTATTATTATTATTATTATTATTTTTATTTTTATTTCATTATTACTATTATTATTATTATTATTATTATTATTATTATTATTATTATTATTATTATTATTATCATTATTATTTTATTTATTTCCCTATACGTGTTTATTTTTAACTTCCGATAACGCTCATTCTATCTTGCAAATGCGCTATTTTGAGACAATTTTAAAAAAGAACCAAAACTTCGTTATTCACACAGAAGTTTCAAGGTAAATGCTTAACGTGTCCGCGCTCATGAAACCTGCAGTTGGGAGCATCGTAATACACGTTACAAAAAAAAGAAATAAATACATATATAGATAGAAAAACAAATAAATCAATAAATCAATCAATCAATCAATCAATCAATAAATTAACAGTATTCTTTATCCCACAGGCGGGCTTCAGTATTCTTATTTTGAAATCATGTATTATACTAAATTGTGTTTCTGACTCGTGTATATTTAGAAATAATGCCGAAACAGTGGTGTCAGTTACTTAGTGGTTAGGCTCTCGGACTCGGAACCGTATGGTAGTCGGTTCGAATCCATTCAGAGTCCCAACGTTGTGTCTTTGGGAAAGGCACATTACACGATTTTTCCTCACTTCATCCAGGTGGGAATGGGTACATAGCTATAGACAGAGAAATATCTTGTTAGTTTGTTAGTGTTTGAGCGCGTGAAATCTGTAACTTGCACGGTGTGCTTCCCGGACTTCTGAGAATGTTTCTGGAAGCTCTATGGTTTGCTGGGGTAATAAAGGCTGTTAGGGGGCTCTCGTGGCCTAGAGGTTAAGGTGTTCGCCTCTCATTCAAAGGTCCCGGGTTCGAATCCGGGTAGTGGCGGAAAAATTTTCTTCTCTAAAAATGTCTACTTTCATCTCCTTTCCTGCTCTCTTGCAATCTTCTGTCGTCTGCTTTCGTCTCCACTTTCTGCCCCACCCCCTCACCTCCTTTTCCCCCTCTTCTTGGTTCCTGACTCTTTCTGAAGCCTTTCTACCTTAGCTCCTTCTTACTGCTGTCTTTCAGCCACACTTCAGATCTTCTGATAGAAGCCATCTCGGACAAAGGCGAAAAATCTCGAAGGTCCCGTGTGTAAGTTGCGCACGTTAAAGAATATATTCTTTTTCTTCCTCGTTTTCGAGAAGAATATATACTTTTGATGGTCTAAAAGCGATAAAAGTAGGCTCCGGCCGCCACTTGGGCAAAATTCAAAATTTCCTGCCAACTGTAAATGTTTGGTGTGCCCCGCGCACTCATATGACCTTATGCAGTTGCGACCGCTGTAAAACACTTACAAAATAAAAAAAACCCCCAAAAAACACCCCACAGCCAAACAAACAATAAGGATGTGAATCGCGTAGAGCATACTGTAGAGCATGGATATGCGCTATATAAATACATTTTATAATGAACATTGGTCTTTTGCTGATAGGACAGTAATTATCATCATGGATCTGCTCCTTCTTTAAAGGGTCAATGTCTCATTGCTATCCTAGAATCACAAAGTTCTATCTGCTCAGTACTTAGTTTTGAGGAATTTGACGTAAAAATGTTTCAGTTTCAGAACGTGCTAAGCGTTTTCGAAAGCAATTCTTGGAATATTTTAATAATGACTCCAAATTAAATAATCTTATAATTTTGATAGAGCAGATAGAACATTTGGTTTCTGACCTCATGGTCTAAGTAACCAAAAATAACCAAAAACGTCCAATAGGGATTTTTGATTCTGATGTAGCGATTTGAAGAACAAACGACTTAGAGAACATTTATTGAAAAGATTTCAGTAACAAAATTGTTCAAAGAGAAGAATGTTCTTTTTCCTCGCACAGGTTATGTACTTTTAACAACAGACAAACAGGAGGAGAAAAACAGAGAAACGAAAATACTCTTGTACTTCCAGCGGCAACGAAACACAGAGGGAAAAAGAGAGAGGTTTTTAAAAAAAATATAAGAATATGAACTGAAATTGGAAACAAGCTATTTAACCCGCCGAGTCTGAAAAACACAAGGCTGGGAAATAATATTATTATTTTAACAAATCCCTTATACCTCGAAGGATAAAAAAAAAACATCCAACAAAGAACAACTGACCCAGTTTCTGAACCACCCGCTGTGTATATCCCGCCGGCTGTGTCTTTGGCTTCCACTGAGCTTAAAACGCTCGAAAAAGAAAAAAAAACCCCAGTGGTCAGCTCGTGCGTGCGTACTTGAGTGCCCCATCGAGTGAGTGACCAGTCCCCGGCATTCTGGATATCCACCGGCCGATGTCCGGCAAACTGGGAGTCCGGCCCCCAGGGGAGAGTGTCTGGGCACAGATGTCCAGTGTGTGTATCTCGCCTGGACCAAGCCCGCCGGCCGCTGCTCTGGCAGACATGATTACGAGGAGCCAGTTCCTGGAAGGTAATCCTCCTATCCTTATCATCATCATTATCTCTCTTTTGTTGCTCTTTTCGCGGTTTTCTGGTCTATTTTTTTTCTCTCTCTTCTTTTTCTTTTATGTTTTTTTGCTTGTTTTGTATTAGGGTTTGTCTTTTCGGGCTATTTTTGTTTTGTTTTGTTCTTGTTTCTGTTTTTGTTTTCATGTTCTTTTCCTGTCTGTTTTACCAGCGTTAGATCATGTGAGATTTACTATTTTTTCCGGTTTTTTTCTGGTTAGTTTCTTAAAATGTGTGTGTGTGTGTGTGTGTGTGTGTGTGTGTGTGTGTGTGTGTGTGTGT